AGATGGAGCAGGTAAGTGGGCCCTTGTTCCCATGCCTCCCCAGCTTGGATGATGAGAAATGAAGTCCAGGGCCTGTTTCAGAAACATGGAGAAGAGCTGGAGGAGAGAAGGACATTCTATCGGTGATATCCCTGACCCCTAACCCCTCAGTAACTTAGTGAGACCAGAGGTAAAAACGGGGTTTGGGGTGGGAGCTCCCAGGGATGACAGATATGGGGTTTTGGGGAGGAACTTTCAAACATCTAATTCCCCACTTACTTCCTTTACTCCTTATCCTAGAATGATGGATATTGCCCTTAAATGTCTGTACACCCTCCTGAGCTCCTGGAATAGCTTGGAAGATTTTGACCAAATCTTCTGGGGCAGCAAGAGTGCCCTGGCCAGTCAGTAACAGCCCCATAACCTTTCAATCCAGCCCCATCTTCTCCAACGACTCATCCATGACATTCTGTGTCCTCCCCCCCATATCAATAATACCCAACTTCCCCTGAATACTCTATCACTGCAGTCTTTCCACTGACCATCTTATCCAGAAATGGCCCTAAAGGTGACTCACTTTAGGCCTCTTTCCTGAGGGTGTCCTGGACATGTGAGGGTGGGGGGTTCAATGCTTGGACCCTGAGGAGAGTCTGAGCATAGAGGCCCCTTGCGGTGCTATGATCTCTGCCTTCTGCTCCCAGAGAGGTTACACTAGTCCTGGAAGGAGGATGATTTTTTTGGCTACCAGTTCCTCAATGGACCCCATACTGCTGAGAAGGTCCACCTCACTCCCCACTCAACTGGTGATCCTCCCAGAACTAGAGGGTCTTCAGGCCCAGCTGGAAAGAAAGCTCCAGGTGGCCCTCTCCTCTTGCTCTCCTCTCTTCTCCAATCCTTGACAATATGGAAAATTAAAGAGGCTCCCAGGGATCAAGTTATATTATTTTCTATATACACTTGCTCAAGGTTTAGGGAAAGGAATAGGGTAAAATTACATAAGGATAACTTGATTTGAAGAATGGAGGAACCCTAACTAGATCCTGGAAAAACATTGATCAATGAAGACAGTGGAAGGGAGTGTTGACAAGAACAGTCAACAATAGTAATTCAACTCCCATCCTTCCTGCAGAAACTAATTTGGGGGGAACCTTGTGGATCCGTAAAACACAAAGAAGATGGGCATAAAACCAAAATGAGCCTATTCTTCTTCTGGCAAATGTGGAGCATGATAAGGTAAACAGGACAGAAAAAGAGAAAATAAATGGAGACAGGGGCAGATTAACCAAGAGATGCAGACTCTCCATACGGATCTTAGTACGGGATCACTGTAACAAAGGGAAAGAGAGAGAGAAGAGAGTCAAGAAAGGAAATGATTTAAGGAGTTTCCTAGAGGATCTGGGAAGGGAGGGTTTGGGAGTTTGGAAGGGTTGAAAGCCTGAGAGGAGGGAAAAGAAATCTGGAGGAAGAAGTGAGAAAAGAAGGGAAATGGTAGAAGGTTCCTTAGGGGAGGGACGGATAGAGGCTAAATAGTTTGAGAATTTAGATTGGGTATGGGAGATTATTAGAAAGTGGGTCATGACCATCCAAACAAAGAGGCCTTATATCTGTTCCAATATAATGTAAATGGAAAAGGCTCTGGAGTCCGAAGACTTGGTTTCTAACCCCTGCTTTGCTTTAGTAGCTGTGTGACTCTGGACAAGTCATTTTACTTCTCTGGGCCTCAGTTTCCTCCTCTGTAAAATGAGGGGCTGAACTAGATGACCTTCCAGGTTTCATATTCTGAGGGTCTGGGTCTAATTAAGAATCTGGACTTCTCTTTCAGTCCTTTATGCGGGTCCTTTGACTGTCCCTGGTATTAGAACTGTTGTTCCACATTCAGCTTTGAACCTTGACCTCAGACTAATATATCCTCCAGGAAGGTTGCCTGTTTGAAGCTGACTTTTCCCTGCTGGATGGAATCCAGGCCAATGTGATCCAGGGAGAGAGGCAACATCTGGCTGCTCCCCTGGTCATGTTAAAGATGGAGCCTGATGGGAAGCTGCTACCGATGGCCATCCAGGTGAGGGAACCCAGGCATCCTTCTCCCCAGCTCCCTTATTCATCCTTCCTCCACCCCACTGCCTCCCCACCAACCCATTTCCTGGGACAAAGACCTCTGACTCTCTGCTCTGCCTCACCAGCCCTTCTTCCTTTCAAAGACCCAGGGATCTAATGCCCTACCCATGTAGTTCCATACAAAGAGCAGTGACTAGAACAGAGGCCCTGGGTTCCCATTTACTACCTGGCTGATGTTGCTCCAGTCATTTAGCCTTCCCTGGGCCTCTGAGGTCCCTTCCAGTTCTGGGTCTATGATTGTACTGATTCTTTCATCCTCCAGCTCCAGCCTCCCTGCTCTGGCTCTCCAGACCCACCACTCTTCCTGCCCTCAGATCCCTCCCTCACTTGGCTCCTGGCCAAGGCCTGGGTCAGAAATTCTGACTTCCAGCTTCATGAGCTGCAAGCACATCTGCTGAAGACCCATTTGGTGGCTGAGGTGTTTGCTGTAGCCACCATGAGATGCCTCCCAGGGATGCACCCCATCTTCAAGGTACTCACCTTACCCTATAGCTACCCTTCACATCCCACCCCTGTGAACCTAGGGGAAGGTTCTAAGGTTTCCAGAAGCCAACTCAAATTAGAGATGAATATTAAGTTCGGGTTTCTTTTCTTTTATTAATTCAATTTTTTTCAGTTCCAAATTCTCTCTCCTCCACCCATAGAGAAGAACAATAAAACCAATTATAAATAAAAAATTATAAATAAAAAAGTATAATCATGCAAAACAACTTTCTGCATTAGCCATGTTCCAAAAATTTTTTTAAGTGAAAAAAGAGAAGAAAATTTGCCTCAATCTGTACTCTGAATCCCTGATTCCATTATTTCTCTATCTGGAGGTATTTCTCTATTACTCTGAGTCTGTGGGAACTGAGGTTGGTAATTATGTTGATAAGTGCTTCAGAATTGATTGTAACATTTCTGTTACTGTCTAAATTGTTCTCCAGATCCTACTCATTTCTCTTTGAATCACTTCATGTATCTTCCCAGGTTTTTCCAAAACCTTTGTGATTTCTTATAGTATAATAGTATTCTATCAAATTCATAGTCCATATCTTGTTCAGGCATTCCCCCATTCATGGGCACTCAGTTTCCAATTCTTTGTCATCACAAAAAAAGATGATATTTCCTCTTTAGGCATAGACCTACTAGATGTATTACTAGGTCAAAAGGTATGTACAGTTTAATCGCATTTGGGTACAGTTCTGAATTGCTTCCCGGAACAGATGGAATAGTTCATATCATCACCCAGAATGCATTAGTGTATCTATTTTCACAGTCCTCTTCAGCATTTGTCATTTTCCTTTTTGATAATCTTAACCAATCTGATGGGGGTGAGGTAGTTGTTTCAGAGCTGTTTTAATCAGCATTTCTTTAATCATTAGTGATTTGGAGCATCTTTTTTATGTGGCTATTGATAAGCTTCAATTTCTTCCTCTGAAAACTGCTTCTTCATATCTTTTGACCATTTATCAACTGGGGAATGGTTTTTGTAAATTTGACTCAGAAATGAGATGTTTACCAGAGAAACTTACTACAAAGACCTCTCCCCTGTAATTTTTTGTTTTCCTTCTAATTTTAGCTATATTGGTTTTGTTTGTACAAAAAATTTTTAAATTTTATGTAATCAAAAGCACATATTACCTCCTGTGATCCACTCTTTCTTGTCTGTTCACAAACTCTTTGTAAACTTTTTTCAATTTTACACTTAAATACAAAATAAGAAAAGAAAAAAAAATTACCATGTACACAGCAGACCATAAGAGGATTCACTGTAAAACAATAAATTGCCATTTCAAGAAAACCTATGTAATAAATACTATACATTGTTTTCAAAGCTGCCCAGCTTTTCTTTGCTTCCTTATTGGTTTTCTTTTGTTCTCTGCTGTGCACTTTTTTATTTTTTCCCCCTCTCCCCACCTTAAAGAAGGCTACAATTAAGGACGGATATATGGATATCTATAAATAGACATATATACACATATACACTCATATGTGAGGCCATACTATGCTCATTTCCTCCTATCATCTGTTTCTCTGATGGTGGATAGCATCTTCCTGTGTATGTCCAAGTCATTCCATGTTTTTCTAAATTAACCAGTTCACATTTCCTGCACCACAGCACTATTCCTTTCTGGATTCAAACAGCAAATTCCTTCATAGGATCTTTGAGGTTAATTTGGGTATTTATAATAGTCAGAATGATTTGACTTGGTTATTCAAAGTTGTTCTCAAAAAGATACTATTGTTACTACATTCAATGTTATCTTAGTTCTGCTCATTTCACTTTTCATTATTTTGTGAAAGTCTCTCCAATGAGGCATCTCAACCTATGTTGCTCAGGGAACAAAATAACCACAATGCTGGCACATAGGGCCACAAATGAGTACTATTTTTCATATCATCAAGAAAGATGGCATGAGAAATCATAATCATCTTCTCTGGTTCAAAAGGTTAAGGTAGGGGCAGTTAGGTGGCACAGTGGATAGAACACTGGCCCTGGAGTCAGGAGGACCTCAGTTCAAATATGAACTCAGACACTTACTAACTAACTGTGTGACCCTGGGCAAGCCACTTAACCCCACCTTGCCCCCCCCCCAAAAAAAAACAAAAGGTTAAAGTAACTTTCCAAACAGCCATTCAGGTATCTATCACCTATGAATATGCCTAAACTTTTTTTTATCTACCATCATGCTGTTTCCATCATCATTCTGTATCACACTATGGGTAACTAGCTCTACAAAGTCACAACATATATGTGTGTATATGTATATGTGTGTGTGTGGATGTATACATATACACACACATACACACACATATATGTAATTGAAAGGATTATGGACTGCGCAGTACTTTCACTTTTAGGTTCGGATCTCAAGATCTAATGACACGTACTCAAGATAAACTTAACAATTATCACATTTATTTACAATGATTAATAACAATTACAAACCACACAAGCAATAAAGGTAAGAATAACATTCAATGCAATAAGTAATAATTAACATTAAGGAAAGGGGGAATAAGAAAAGAAAGGATACACACTCATTAACCAGGTGAGCTCAAATACCCATAGAACCCAGGAGACTGGAGATGGTCCAATAGGTCTAGTCAGGGAGGCAACGGGGAGCATCCTACCCCAGGACACAAAGGTAACTATGCACTCGATCCCGCCTCTGGCAGAGAGTCGGTATCCCAATCTCTGCATCAAAGTACTCCAAAATCTCCCTTTCAAATGACCCTTTTTATAATTACGTAAACCAGAGAAAAAACAACCTTAGCGTTTTGTTTTGTGTACGTCTCCTTGGTGAGCGCTCAGACCAGGGATACGCACACATGTGGACAAAGGTTGGAGCTCAATCAGAGCTCCAGCTACCTGTTTGTTGTGTAAGTTTCCAAGGAGTGATCAGGTCCCTGGACAGATACACATCGTTCATCAAGAAAAATGTTCCTTGAGATAAGTATTGTTTTCCCAGGTAACATAATCTGTTAGGTGTTTAATGTTCTGTTTCCATGGTACCCCCAGCCATGCATGCTAACTTCAATTTACATTCTTTATGTCAGGTCATGAGGCAGTTACACCAGGGGCTGGGGAGGATCTCTCCTCAGTTTCCTTTACAATATACACACACACATATATATATATATATATATATATATATGTATATATATAAAATGCCCTTCATCTTGTTCCAAATTTGTCTTTCAAGCTTCATGGGGGTACCCTGTAATTCTGCTACAGCTTGATTGACACACTTTAGTTAGATCTTGTCTTTATCTTTCCAGAATTAAGTAACAATTTGATTTTAATATTACTTTAAAAATTTGCAGAACAGTTTATGTACTTTTAAAATGTGATCCTTGCAACTCTGAGATAAATAAATATACATTTTATTGTCCTTATTTTACACATGTTATAGAACCGTCTTAGAAGCTAAGTAACTTATTTGCAGTCAGATACCTAATGAGAATCAGAGGCAGGTTCTGAATCTAGGACTCTGAAATCCAAGTACAACTTGCTTCTCCCAATGAACCATCCTCACTCTCCAGTGAACAACTATAAACTTTTAGTCTGCTTACTTTAACCCAACCCAATAATTTTCATATTTGTATAAAACTTTAAGACTTATACAGAGTTTTCTTTTTTTCTTTTTTAATTTTTAAATTTTTTTTACAGTGTTTTCTTCAAAACAACTTTGTGAGATGGTATAAACATTATCTTCACTGACAGATGAGGAAAGTGAAGTTCCTAAAAGTAAAGCAAATAACTCAAAGTCACAAAGTAAGGGGTATGAGTTAGGAATGTAACTTTGATGACCTGTCCAGGCATCTTCCCACCATAGCTACATTTGGCTTTCCCTGTACCATGTCCAAATCTGTCCTACTTTCCCATAAGTTCATGAGCCTGAATTGAATACAGAATTCCAGCTGTAAGCACATGATGCTGTTGTAGGACAGAAAGCACAGGGGAAATGGAAAGATTATTTAATTTAGAGAACTAGGTTCAAATCTCGTTCTCAGACACCATCTATGTTACAGTGGACAAATTACACCTTTTCTGGGCCCAAGTTTCCTAGCTCTGGTAAAAGAAGGTGTTTGAATATAATAGTGTTTCAGCTTTAAATAAACTATATGACATTCTCTAATTGATTTTAACTGCTTTCCTGATGATGCCTAGCCACTCACTTGGGCCACAGAAGCACACTGACTCCAAGGGCTTGGCATTTAACTTTGAGAAATGGTCGGAAGATGCTATTCCTAGTGCATAATTAATTCAAACAAGAGGGAAAAAGAGCTTTTCCTCTGATGTCTCAGTTCTTGGCTCTTCCTACATACATCCTTCTCTTGAAATGTCAAAAGACCCTCTTGGGAGAAATCAAAACATATGCTATTACCCTCATCAAACAACTAGGCCTATACCACATCACACCCAAAGCCAATGGTGGAAATGGCCATCACCATCTCGCCCTCCTCCAGAGTCAGGTAAGACCCTTCCCCAAGTCCCCCATTTAAGGGATGAAGTTCATCCCTTAAGGTATACGCAGACCACTTTCTTCCCAAACAAAGTACTTACATCCAGGTCACATGACTCATATCTTGGTCAGTCAGGTGAATCCCCAAGGTGTTCTCATTTCACCCTCAGGTGGATCCCCTTCTTGGGAAGAGGAGGGAGGGATCTGTAATTTCCCTCAAAACCTGGAAAACAGGACTTTGTGGGAGCTGAAAGTGCTATGAATGTGGTCCTTGCCTCCCTTCCATTACAGTATGATCTTTCTCCTTGCCATCTCCTTCTTTGGGAATGGTTGATCCCCAGAGTTCCCTCCTCTAATCCAATGCCTCCCCCTAACCCTGATGCTTTTAGCCTACTCCTCCCTACCTTGGTGTCCACCCCTCCCCACACTGCAAGGGGGCACAGGCCCACAGACTAATAACTTTCACCGTAACAAAAAGAAACGTAATATGCAAGATCACAATCGCCTTTTGTGGCTCAAAATGTTAGAGTAGCTCTCCAACTAGCCTTTAAAGGTCCACAATCCATGAATATAACTAAATTTCTTTTGAAGCTGTACCATCATCATTCTGTACCACCAGTAAGGGTAAAACGTTTTATGCCCTTCTTTTCGTTGCAAATTTGCTCCTTCCAAGCTTTATGAGGGTGCCCTGCAGTTCTGGTATAATTTTCCAGAATCCTTCCAGAATGAATATTATCTTGTGATCCTCACAACCCTTAGATAAATAAATGTTATTATTATCCCTATTTTACACATGAGTCATCAGAGGCTAAGTGTCTTATCCTATATCACCACTCAGCTAGTATAAGAGGTGAGACTTGGGTTCCAAATCAACCTTGCTTTTTCCACTGCCTCATGCAGAAACTCCAATGACAAACACTAAACCTGTTAGTCTGCTCACAACCCAATCCTTTAATAACCTATAATGCTTTAAGGCTAATAAGGTGTTTGGTTTTTTTTCTTAACAACCTTGTATGGTAAGAAGTATAAATATATTATCATCATTGACAGATGAGGAAACTGAGACTTAAAAAGGTGAATCAAATTACCCAAAATCACACAGTAAAGGATCAATGGAACCAGGTCTACTGATTACCTGTCCAGCCCTCTTTCCACTATAGCTACATTTGGCTTTCTCTATACCAGCTTCAAGTATGTTCTACTACATAGGTCCATGAGTTGGAACTGAATCCAGGTGTGGGTATATGATGTTTTTTGTTTGTTTGTTTTGTACAAAGGAAAGTCTAGGGTAGTGGAAAGGACATTCAAATTAGAGACCTGGGTTCTAATTCTGACTCTGACATCAACTGTTACAATGGACAAACCACAATCTCTCTGGGCTTAAATTTCCTTTATGGCAAACTAAAGGTGCTGGAACGATCCAGGGGAGGTGGTAGAAGTCTCCGGTGCAATTGGGGACCGTTCAATAAAAACAAAGGGACAGTGCAAGCGTAAGGAAAGAAGAGAAGATAATATTTTGAAAAACCATTTGTACATGTTTTATCTGTTGTGTAAAAGAGTTAAAGTCATAGTGATTACATTATTTTCCAAATAAACACACAAAATGCAAGTTATAACTGATCAGTGGTCAAGTCCAACCACAGGTCTTAATAAGCAAGTGTTGGCAGGTCAGCTGTAGTGCATTGTTAGAAAGTACAGCAAGCATCTGAAGGAGTATGAGCATGTAATGACTTGTTTACAATACAATACTATATGGTTACATGATGTGATATTGCATCATCAAAATTTCAATGCAGGAAAAAAGACACAAATTTACAATAAATTATTAAATTTAAGATGTGTCATTTTAAAAAATATATATTTTTTGAGATGATGCAAATTTAAAAAAATTAAAGTGTTAAAGAAAGTAGATTTTTTAAGGGGAGAGCTGAGGTTTTTTTAGGCTAAATAAATTTGGGAAACTCATACTTTAAAATTTAAAGCATGGCTTTCTCTCTTTGGTTTCAATTGCTTTGCTGATGACTCCTTGCTTCTTGCTTGGGTCGCAGAAGCACTCTGGGGGCTTGAAGCTTAAATTTGAGAAACGGTCTGAAGATGCTCTTCCTAGCTCCTAACAGTTAATGAAAAAGAAGGAACAAAGGATCTTTTCCTCTGGAAGTCTCAGTCCTGGTTCCCTTTACACCTCCCTCCTCCCGCTTCCCCTGAAATTTCAGAAGGCCCACTTGGCATACCTGGAAACATATATGCTATCATCTCCATCGGACAACCGGTCTTACATCCCCTCCCATCTCAAGCCAAAGGTGGAAAAGGGTCTCATCCCCCTCCCCACCTAAGATGCACTGCCAGACCACGTCCCAGTCCATGACGGTCCGGCAGGCCCTTCTCCCGCATTCCCCCAATTAAGGGATGAGGGAAACTAGGTCGACATCCAAAAAAGGCGCCTCGAACTGGGAATCCAGAGATCCTCTCGGTTGGCTAGACTCGAAAGGCTGGCAGGCTCACCTTTGGGGGTCACATGACTCTGAAGACGTTCAGTCACGTGAAGACCCCCCCTTATTTCGTCCTCCCGTGGACCGTACCTTATTCGTGGGGAGAAAGAGGAGAGATTTGCCCCCAGACCCTGTGGGAGCTGGAAGTCCTGCGAACGTCGTCCTCGGCATCCCTTCATTTCCACGTTTCTCCCTGCCATTCCCTTCTAGGGGAACGGCCGGTCTCCGGTGCTCTAAGCCCGTCCCCTCCCAGCTGGAGGGCAGTTCCTTCCACACCTGAAGCCCAGAAGCATCAGCTCCTCTTGAGCGTCGCGGCCGCCCCTCCCCACCCTGCCCCCTGGTCCGCTCCCCCGCCCCTCTCGGCTGGCGCTCCGCCTCCCTACCCGCCATTCCCCCTTAACTCCGCCCCAAGACCCGCCCCCGCTCCGCCCTCGTGCTGGTCCCGCCCCTCCTGGCTCGAGCCCCGCCCTCACTCACGCCCCTCACGTATTCGGGTCTGAGAGTCGCACTCCAACACCACTAGCTCTGCCTCTCCTCTGTTGTGGGCCCGGCCTGGAGAGGGAGGAGGCCAGTGGGGGCTTGGAGGGAATGAATGATTGAAACTCTTTTGGAGTGGGACCAGCGTTTGCTAGGAATCTGGGCAGCCGGTTAGGGGGGTCAGAAGAAAGGAATGGTGGAGGGGGCTGAGAATTTGGGGAACTAGGAGACGTAGTGGGGTTAGGCAGCAAGCATTTATTAGGCGCCTACTTTGTGCCTGACACTAATAAGAGCTGGGAATACAAAGAAAAGCAAAAGACAGAGCCTACTTTCAAGGAGCTCAGTCTAATGGGGTGAAGTCGAGATTAGGACGAAGGGAAGGTCTGGGGAGCTTGAGTTTATAAAGCAGTTCTTTGAGCTGTGACCTGCGAGCTACAATGGCGAAGGGTCTACACAAAGATTTAAAATATTGCAGTATGCATTCACTAGTACCTAATGCATTAAATGCACAGCGCAGAAGAAGAGCTCAATTAATGTTTGTCGAACGAACTTCAAACTGCTTACCTTCTCCATGAGGAACGGGAGGCTGGAGAACATTTGGAACTCAACATTTTTTAAAAATGAACGTTAAAGTTGGGGCAGCTAGGTGGCACAGTGGATAAAGCACCGGCCCTGAAGTCAGGAGAACCTGAGTTCAAATTTGACCTCAAGACACTTGACACTTACTAGCTGTGTGACCCTAGGCAAGTCACTTAACCCCAATTGTCTAAAAAAAAAAAATGAATGTTAAAAATGCTTTTATATCTAATTGGAAAAAATAAAATATTAAAGTTTCCCAAAAAATGAACCTTGGATAATAACAAAAAAAAATGGATCTATACCCTTTCTCTTCTCCCTGATTAAAGAAGAACCCTACATAAAATAAAGTTAACTAATTGGAAAAAGATAAAAAAATCTTAAGGAAGAGAGTAACTCCTTGAAAACTAGAATTGGGCAAGGGGAAGCAAATGACCTTATAAAATACCAAGAAATAGTAAAACTAGAAAAAACAGAAGAGAATCTGAAACATCTCATTAGAAAAACAACCGATCTGGAGAACTGATCGAGGAGAGAAAATATAAAAATTGTCCCGACGTAGATGCAAACAGTGCCCTAAAAGCTAAAAAATAAAATAAAATAAAATAAGAAGTAAAAAATTAAGGGTTGTTTTTCCAGTACCTGGTGAGGCCCCTCCTTAGCTTGAGTACCTCCTTGAGTCTCTTCCCTTTATCATGAGATATCCCCCACCTCATCTTGGACCATAAAACTTCCTCATCTCCCTCATCCTGAATCATAAAGGTTCCCCTGTCTTCCTTATCCTGGGTCCCCTAATCTGTCATCCATCTTCCTCATCCTGTGTCATGACAATTCCCTCTTATCTTGTAAAATAAAGCAGGCCCCATCCCTCTGTAAGTTGCTAGTCCTCTTTCCAGGGCTAGCCTGCTGCTTTTTCATCAGTAAAGCTCCCAATGGTTACAGAGAAGGTCTAAGTGAATTCTTTCACACTTGAACCAGCTTTCCCAACTCTAAACCTCAACATAAAATGGTGCTGAAACCCGGGAGTCCAAATATTAATTGGACTCTGCTGATCTTCTCCTAGCCACTGGGATAACAGGTAAGCATTTTTTTTTTTTTGGTTCTCCTCCCCAGACCTTTCTGCTCCTAATCTCCCTGGCTGAGAGACCCCTGGAGTGCCCAGACACTGCCAGCAGCATCTGAAGCTCCACCTACAGGGCTGTTGACCCTCATATAAGGAAGGGTCAACTGTTGCGCTGGGTCAGTCACATTTTTTTTCCTCTCATGTGTCTGGGGACACTAAGACAAGCAAGAGGCTGCTAGGAGACTGTTAGGATGGGAAATTCAGGGAAGAAGATCTTAAGAAAAGTGCCTAGTGCTCCACTGTAACACAGCCTGACCTCAACGTAATCTAGAAAAGCAATTTGTGAAGATTTCCAAACAAGACAAGCTTGGTAAGAAATTTGGTTTCTAAAACTTAAAGAGCAGACTTTTCCCCCCTGCACCCTGGTTTACCCTGTGTTGTTCCTTCCTGGGACACTGGGGAGGTGGGCCTTTTCAACTGGTTTTCTTTGGGGTTCCCTGCACCCCAGTTTCAAGGTCTTATTTTCTAGTACATGCAGCTCAAAATTCCCAGGAGGATGTGAATGCAGAGCTAGAATGCTTAGGGATCTGCTAAGTCTCAAATATAAAAGGGACTGGGAACTCCAGCTCAAGAAGCTAAGAATTGTTACCATGTGTCTTACGGATAATACTCTTTTCCTTTAAAGTGCTAAGAGTATTGGGCCTTAGAAATTAAAATGTCACCACTAGTGATTATGCATCCAGATCTGATTTGCTCATCCAACTAAATTAAGGTCACCTGATGGGTAATTAATTGGTTCTGTTTCAAGTTTTAAATACATGATAATTGCTTGTGGTATGTTTATATTTCTAAATTTTCTTATATTGTGTAATTTGGTTAACAATTGCATCACCTGTGTTGTTAGAAAAGAAATTTCTCTTATAATCTAGATGTCATTAGATCAAGAATTGTACTGTCAGATTATGAGGTTGTTAACTAAGACAAGGATTTTTGGACCTACCTAATCATAAATTCTTATTAACCCTGTGCAAAATCTTCTATAGTGGAATTCCTACTGAGTAAATTTTTAAAGGCCTGGTAAACTTTGTTATTGTAATAAGGCGAATTTAATTGGCTATATTCTCATAGAACTTACCTTAGAACTTAGCCTTAGGAAAAAACTGAACTTCCCAAGGTAAACACCTTTTAGTACTTAGTAACTTGTGATTACTGAGAATTCTGGTTTTATGGCACTTTGAGGATTTGTGATACTTAAAAGAAATTTTATACCAACTTGGTTTTGATAAATTCCAATCTTTAAGGTTCCCAGCTAATTTATTTCATGAAAGTTTAGTTATCCTTTTAACATTAAGATAAATTGTAAGCTTTTTTTAAAGAAAGGGAAATGCTTCTTAACAAAAAAATGTTTTGCAAAATCTTTTTGTGTGATTTTTAGATGGCCTACTAAATTTCCATTTGCAAGCTAATTTGTTGCAATAATTTGATACTGATAACAATTATGTCCAAATCTACCATGAATTTTCCAAGTTTCATTCCTAGGTTTGTTGTGTCCTTGCATTGGCCTTAAATGGGTGCTTTCAGAGAAACAGAGTCAATGGTTCATGCTTCATGTACCATAAGAAAGGGCACTGGTCTAGTGAAAGTAGGTCTGAAAGGTTCAATGCCCCACTCTTGTGTTTTGGTTTTTTTCTGGATAAAGCTCTTCTCTTTTTTAAAAAAATTTTATTAATTTATTGTGATTTATCAAAAATCACTTCCATATGCTTTTGAGTTTAAAATTTTTCTCCGCCTTCCTCCCCACCCCTTTCCCCAAGATGGTGCACAATCTGATATAGGCTATACATTTATATTCCTATTAAACATCTTTTCACATTAGTGAAGTTGCAAGTAAAAAGCAAAACCAATAGGAGGAACCATGAGGAAGAGGAAACAAAACTCAACAGAAGAGAAAAATAAAATGATAGCGATTCAAACTTCCATAGATCTTTCTTTGGATGTGGATAGCATTTTCCATCCGAGGCCTCTGGAGATGTCTTAGATCCTTGTATTGCTGGAAGGGTTAAGTTTATCAATATTAGTCATCGCACAATGGCTGTTATTGTGTACAATTCTCTTGGTTCTGCTCACTTCACTCAGCATCAGACCATACAAGTCTTTCCAGGTTTTTCTGAAGTCAGCCTGTTCATCATTTCTTATAGCACAATAGTATTCCATTACATTCATATACCACAACTTGCTCAGCCATTCCCCAATTGATGGGCATCCTCTCAATTTCCAATTCTTTGCCACCACAAAAAGAGCTGCTATGAATATTTTTGTACATGTGGGTCCTTTTCCCATTTGTATGATCTCTTTTGGATATAGCCCTAGAAGTGCTATTGCTGGTCAAAGGGTATGCACATTTTTAGCCCTTTGGGCATAGTTCCAAATCGTTTTCCAAAATGGCTGGATCATTTCACAACTCCACCAACAATGCATTAGTGTTCCAATTTTCCCACATCTTCTCCAACATTTACCATTTTGTCATGTTGGCCAATCTGATAGGTGTGATGTGGTACCTCAGAGTTGTTTTGATTTGCATTTCTCTAATCAATAATGATTTAGAGCATTTTTTCATATGACTATAGATGGCTTTAATTTCTTCATCTGAGAACTGTCTGTTCATATCCTTTGACCATTTATCAATTGGGGAATGGCTTGTATTCTTATAAATTTGTCTAATTCTCTATATTTTAGAAATGAGGCCTTTATCAGAGAACTGGTTGTAAAAATTCTTTGCCAATTTCCTACCTTCCTTCTAATCTTAGTTGCATTGGCTTTGTGCAAAAACTTTTCAATTTAATGTAATCAAAATTATCCATTTTGCTTTTCATAATGTTCTCTATCTCCTGTTTGGTCATGAATTCTTCTGTTCTCCATAGATCTGATAGGTAAACTATTCCTTGTTCTCCCAGTTTACTTATAGTATCAGCCTTTATATCTAAGTCATGAACCCATTTTGACTTTATTTTGGTATATGGTGTGAGATTTGGGTCTATGCCTAGTTTCTGCCATACTCTTTTCCAGTTTTCCCAGCAGTTTTTTTCAAAGAGTGGGTTCTTATCCCAGAAGCTGGGGTATTTGGGTTTATCAAATAATAGATTACTATAGTCATTGACTACTGTGTCGCATATTTAACCTATTCCACTGA